TTAGATATAAAACTTTTGTTAAAATCACAAATTACCTCTAACAATAAACTAAAGTCTTTATTGAATAGGATAAATGAATTCAAATGTAGGTATAAAACATTGATTCAGCTCCTATTAGCAAGTCGAGAATAGACTTGCTAATGAGCTGATAACAAAAAGGTGAGAGTGAATATTAAAAATAATAAACTAGAGGATTGCATGAATAAGTGCTGTTTAAGTTTATTTGAGAGGGCTTCGAAATTGGAAGACAGAGGAAATAATTTAGTGTTATCAAAGATGTTAGGTAAAATCTGTTTAATTATGTTACAATAGTTTAATTGCAGATGATAAAATACTTTTATACACTTGTAATATGGATGGTGAAATTATTTAAATTAATGATGATAACTGTTTTTTAGGGGTTTAGTTTATAAGGAGCATTTTGGAAATATGTGAAAAAATTCTTTTCGAAGAGTAGATATGAGCAAATATAAATGATAATAAGAAAAACTGTTGTTTTATAATATTTCAAGCCTTTTAAATAAGGACTGTTTTCTTAACTTTTAAGCTATATAATTCGGATATTTTTGTTTTGTAGAAACTTGGCATATATCTTAAAGAATAGGTTCTTTATTCTCTTCTGAATATTAAATTTGTTCATTGCTTAGCTCGAAAACCTATGAACCCGAAAATACCAAGTGATTTGTGGAGTTAAATTAGTAACAGTATCTAAGCTAGAAAAGTTATATAAATCACGTTTTATTTTGGTACGGCAGATTGATTTTCATGAATTGCCTAGTATAGTAATTACTGTCTTTGTTCCGCCGGATATTTCTTACAATGAAAGTTTTACAGATGTGTTATCCGCGATAACGAAATTTTTGTTAAATGATATGTTGATTTTATGTGGGACTTAAATACAAGAATGGATTATCTCGATTATTTGGTGTTTTGTTCTGAAAATTGCAATATGTAACAAGAGCGTCAGAGACAGAGGAAGACATCTTTGTAAATTTTGTATTGAGAATGATGTCATCTATTTAAATGGGTTACTCCCGGGTGATGAGAAAGGAGAGTTTACATATCATTCACGTAATGATATTAGTTTGATAGATTATGTAATTGTTCCGCGTGATATATTCACATCGATTGTGTGTGATATGACAGTTTTATCAAAAGTGACTTTTGACTGTTTATCATTAGTGACTTTTTCTGCCTATGATTTCCTATACAAGATTTTAAGAATAAAGTATCGGTAAAATGGCACAGTAAAATGAATACGGTATTTTCTGAAGCTTTAGCTAATATATAATGGCATGGGACATGGATAATTTCTCACCAGGAAATTTATTGAATTGTATAATTAAGGAAGTAACTAGTATTGGCATGATTTTTTCGAAAATAAGAAGGATTTCTGGTAAAAGTACAAATAGTATGTCGTATAATAAAGATTGTCTTGGATAAAGAAAGAAGTAAGAAGAATGTTTAGGAAAGTTAAAATATCACACACGAGTGAAAATTTTAAGTTAAATAAGGAGAAACTTAAACATCATAAGCAATTATGTAAAAGAAAGAAACAGTCTTTTTTAATATAAATAAAAATTTAGTAAACTGTAATAATTCGAGAGAAGTTTGGAAAATTATTAATGACTTTAAGCGTAATGTCATGTCGTGACTATAGAATCCCGATTCTTCTTTAATAAAATGATTCCATTTTTTTGCTGAAAAATTTTCAGAAAATATGAAGGAACTGAAGGAGGATCAATTAAGGCTGGGTGTAATTATAATCTCAGAACCGGCTTCGGAATTCACTTTTCCGTTTACAATACACGAATTAAAACGATTGTTTCAATATATTCAGACTGGTACAGTCTCAGTATCGAACTTATTAAAACAGAATTTTTGAAATGTTTCTCAGAGAGGTTTTTTAATGGTTTCACTGAGATTGTTTAATCATATTAATTAAAAGTACGATTAATTTTCCGGAGCGATAGTTTGAGTCATTGATAACTTCAATTTTTAAGAAAGGACTTTTAAATGATCCTAGAAATTATCGGTCAATTTATTTGTTCCCAGTGCTAGAGAAACTATTTACTGTTTTTTTTTGGAAAAAAAGTGCAAGATTACTATTTATAATTACGATTTATTGTTATGAACAGTCGGGTTTTCGATATGGGACTCTTGTTCGTACCAAATATTTACTTTGAATGCTTATAAACAAATGAAATTAAGGAGGAAAGAAAGAAGAAAATTGTATGTTATCTTTGTTGATTTCAAATCTGCTTTTGATAACATTAATCATAGAATGTACTTTTGATTGTTAGAGAAAATGGGCTTGGATAAAAACTTCCTACTTCTGAAACAGATTTAAATCAAAGCTGCTGCAAGGATTAAAATAATGAATCAAATGACCGACTCATTTGATCTTTAAAAAAAAAAAGGTGCATTAAGGACGAAATATTGAGCCTTTTATTATTTAATTTATATGTCAATGGTTTAATAGTGCGACTGAATTTAACTAATTTACCCGAGACTTACCTTTCGGAGAATGTGATGATACATGTTAATGTACGCGGATGACACAGTAAGTTTGGCAGATACGCCTTTAATGCTACAGAAAAAAATAGTATATAGGATCAATTCTGTAAGGATTATGGATTAACAGTGAACTTAACAAAAACTAGAGTTGTGATTTTTAGAAAAGTTGAAAAGCTTTAAGTATAGATAAATGTCCAAATCTAGTTCAATACATAAATTTAAAAAATAATCAACATAGTAACAACGGGACTTATGAAGAAAATTTTGTTTATTTCGAAAAATTTCTTCAGGAATTACGAGATTTTGATCGCTAACCGACGATATAGTATCAGAACAATTAGACCTATATCTAACTTACCAACAATCTGTCCACAGCATACGCTCTTTTTGCCTTATACTGTCATGGCGGCGCCTACTTTCTTTGGCTTCAGACGGCGGCGCTAGATTCTACGATAACTTTTATCCGATTTGGGGTCTGGTATTTATATGTCGTAGATTATTACAATATCAAAATAATTAATGGTAAAAATGTGAATTTAGTAGAAAAATCCAATATTTTTATGAAATTAATCATCAACTAAGAACGATAATTGATACAAGACTACGAACCTCTTTCAATATAGTGTCGGAGTAAATAAACATTCGAATTTGGAAAGAAAAAATAATAGCACTACTATAAATTGTGGAAGTCATCGTCGTAATCAAAAATACTATTTCTGCTCTTAGCAATGTTATATGAAATTAAATTTCTAAAAAATTATAAAATTTGTTAACAAAAATTATAACATTAAGCTATTTAACTTTACGCGTATTCTCATAAAAACCATCTGTGAGATTTTTAAAAATACAGCATACTCTAGCCCTCGAAAATATGAGTGTAACTTTTATATTTATGGCGAGAAATAAAAGCTTACCATGCAGCATTGTCGCATAATTTTCGTAACGATAGTTTTGTATATACGCACAAAAGTTACCATTTGCAGGATCAATTGCAAACGCGCAAATACTGGGCAATTGATTATGCGATTCGGAACTGCATATTTATTAACCTAATCAATATTTAAAAAATATGAGTCGTCTCCTTCTTTCCTCATAGCGTTTTTCCTCATTGGTGCAGGGTCCGCTTGTTTACGTGTATTCCTCTACTTTATTCGATATAGCACATCATTTGGTGAAATTTCCAATGTTTCTCTATCTTCTATGATTCGGTCAAGCTACCGTTTTTCGGGGTGTCCACCTGGGCTGGTTTTCCATTGGTCTTAACAGAGGATACTTTTGATCATTTTTTCAGTTGTCATCACTGCGCATAACGTGCTCATATCACCGCAATCGAACTTCTCGCATCTTGTCTATAATTGGTCTAACTCCTAGTTGTTTTATAATGTCATCACTCATTTGTGATCAAATCGCGCAAGACCCAATGACTATCGTAGGATTTTCATTTTCATGGCTTGCCTATTCATGTTTGTTTGTGATAGGCCAGCATTCTGACCCATACATTGTTACTGGTCGGACGACTGACTTATAAATTTTTGCCTTAAGATTTATTGGCATCTTTTTTTCGCAAAGTATTCCGGTTACCGCTCTCCATTTCATCCAGGCAATATTGATTCGTGCAACCAATGTCTGGTGTTATTTCGTTAAAAAACATGTTAAATTACGAGATAGGTAAAATCCGAACATTCTTAAAAATCATGCTAGAATATGGTCCTAGAAATGTATTTGTATGTGCATTCAGAATGAATAAAATGAATAAAACACACACTTATCCAGTGCAAACGCTTCTGTGAAAGCCTTTATTTCATATCATATATTGTACAACGATCGACAATTCTAGACATTTTACACAAGATAATAAACTGTTAAAGCTGTCTTTCGAAAGCAATGAAGGATACTTGTTTCCTTTCCTGTTCGTCACTGCCGTTCTAAGTTTCAAACATGAAGAAACAGATTTCATCATCATTGCTATGTGCATTAAGTACTTTCTTTTGCGTTTTGTATTCCATGATTAGTTGCAACCGTTTCGGCAAGTTTCCTTTTTTTTGCCGCAAGAAGGGAGGTTATTCGTTAAGGTTGCTGAGTTGTGCTAAGGTATACTCTGAAGTCATAACGAAAGAGATTTGCAGATTCGTATGTAAGTGAGAAGACACCGAGTCAGACTCAACAGTTATAAAAAATTGTCCCGATTTATTTGAACACAAAAAAGAATCTTACAAAAACCATGTCTTCTTAGTGTCTCCACAGGTGAAGAGCAACACTGAATATTCTGTCTTTTCTTTTAATTAAAAGAGAGAGTTCTTAGAGCGGTATTCTTCGGTTTCCTCTTTTGTCCCGAGGCGATGTTGTCCAAAGTCTTTAGAGAAGGTGAGGTCAGTCCAATTGGAGTTGAAAATAAAGTGGGAAATCAAATAAGTAAGATATTGCACAATGAGAAATCAAAGAGAGAAGCTCCGTTGTCCTTGAAATTCAGAGTTTATTATTTTCTATCCCTGATCGTCCATTACAATTGATCGCCTTTTCTCATCCTCACTTTCTAACAAGGGAACTGTCGGAGTGTCTTCTAATAAATTTTAATAAAATTTAGTTAATAACTACGTTAAAAGTATACAAACTCTATTTTAAATTTGTAGCATTCACTAAAAGTGTTGATCAGAGTTATTAGCAATCAAATGTTGCACTACTTTATAGTAGTTTAACANGTCTGTCTTTTCATGATTACCAAAGTTTTGCTTTTGTCTGTTCTTGTTGCATCCAAATCATTTTTTCTAAGCCAACATTTAGTAAGTTTGATGTACTGTATTTACCGGCATCATATCCTTTCTTCCAAGTCGTCTGGTCTTTTCTGATAATTTTCCATCGGATGTATTCTTTTTCTAAAGAATCTAGCCCAGATATTCCTCTTTCTATTTCCTGGATTGAAGTTTCCCATGAACTTGATTCATGGGAAACTTCATAAAACACCAGACGACTTGAAAAAAAATGTGATGCCGGTAAATACATCAAACTTACTAAATGTTGGCTTAGAAAAAATGATTTGGTTGCAACAAGAGCGGACAAAAGCAAAACTTTGGTAATCATGAAAAGACAGACATATAATAACGCATTGGAGGATTATATTAAAAAACCGAATGCGAGAGTGTTGAAGCAAAGATTATTGCAAATCTTAAACAATATTTATTAATTTCAGAATTGTTATCATAGCAACTTTAAAAATGATGTAAATATATTAGAAATGCAGTTTCGGTTATTAAAAATTAAAACACAAACTTAAATAATTTATATTTTCGTTTTACTTATATCAAACTAGGACATCGCGCGATTTGGCGTATCGCGATAGAATTGAAGTGGAGCCGGATGGAAAGAAGCCATCCCTGCACCCAAGGGCGGATCTACATAGGGACTAATAGGGTTTAAGCCTATTAGTCCCTATTAGTACCCCAAGTGTCAAGGGCCCACAAAAATTGAATTATTATCATAAATACCTTTTCATAAATCATAATGAAAAAATATTAAAATAATTTTAAGTGAGCACTTACCGTATAGTAAAAAATAGTTAATATTAATAATATAATAATAATGATAAGTTATAGTATTATTCGTATTAAAAAAAATGGGGCCCCATTGGACTTCAATAAGCCCTAGGCTCGGAAAAACCTAGATCTGCCCCTGGTTGCGATGGCCACGCATTTGGTAAAAGTTGCCAACCTTAACGTCCAAAAGACTTCATATCACTTGTTTAAATAAAAAAAATCTTGTAAAAATGAGAGAATAATTGCTTTTAATTAAGTAGTCCCGTAAAAAAATGAATTAAACCAGGTTGAAAAAGTAAAGCTCAGAAAAAACATTTAAGTAGAGGAAACTTTTCACAATACGACTTGATATGTGAATAAAGTGCGCATTACACAGACTACAGTTACAGAAAATTTTGAATGAAGCAATGTCGCCACGATAATAAATAGGAAAAATAAACTTCAGCACAGTAAAGACTTCGAGCTGTACTTTGTGACTTGATTTTACTAAAATGTGTTTCGTGTATAGTTTGAAACAAACAAAAATCAGTAATTTTACTAAATTTGTAACAACTAATGATTGAGAATCTTAGTGAAATACCGACGGGGGTTATTTTTATAAGTTGCAAAATCCACGCGGGCGAAGCCGCGAGTACAGCTAGTTAAATATAAACACGTTGCTATTGTTCATGTGAAGAAATCAACCATAGGTCAAAAGCTTTACCATATGATTTTTCTAGATATATATTATTTAAAATACTTTAATTAATATCTTACAGTATTAAGTGAATGCAAAATTTAAAAAATAATTTTCTAAGTTTTCGGTCATTTTTACACACATACACATACACGTTTAATGTCATATATTGAAGTTTATTTAAAAACTTTTAGATGCTTATTTTGAGATCTTAAAATAGCTGAAGAAATATCTAAACGAGAATGAATATCATTTTGTCATTATTCTTGATTTTAGATATAATGAAATTTTTGCGAGGAAAAAAGAAAAAACCTCATACAAAGTGAATTAAACTTTAATTTTATTATCAATCAACCAATAAAAATTTCTTTATTTAATGATTAATTCATTAGAAACTTAATTTATATGACTTAAACAGATCATATATTTTATGAAAGAATAATTAAAGTTTTATAATAAATTTTAAAATAACTAAATTAAATCAATTCACAATTTATTGATTTGCAAATTTTAATTTTAAATTTCTCGAAATGCCCCGAGATTCATTTGTT